ACACTGTAGTCGGCTGCCCATCTGTCACCCCAAGAACACTACCACAAATCCCTGTGGCTCCAGTCATTCTGGTTGCCATTCCTGTCTCCGGCAAAAGCAGAAACACAGGAGGTACATACTTAAGGTGGGACCCCATCCAGGTGGGCTGCGTGTGGTGGGTCTTCAAACCACCAAACTGGACCAGGAGCCAGGTATGCAGCCTCAGGTGTGTGCTCCAAGGTGAGCCCTGGGGGTGGGGGTTGCAGCCTCAGGTATGTGCTCCAGAGTGAGACCTCTGGGCAAGGTGGTGTGCATCCTCAGGTGTGTGCTCCAAGGTGAGCCCTGGGAGAGGCGGCCTGTGTGCATCCCCAGGTGTGTGCTCCAAGGTGAATCCTGGGGGGGGGGGGCGGCCCGTGTGCATCCCCAGGTGTGTGCTCCAAGGTGAATCCTGGGGGGGGGGGGCGGCCCGTGTGCATCCTCAGGTGTGTGCTCCAAGGTGAGCCCTGGGGGAGGCGGCCCGTGTACATACCCAAGTGTGTGCTCCAAGGTGAATCCTGGGAGGGGGGCGGCCCGTGTGCATCCCCAGGTGTGCGCTCCAAGGTGAGCCCACGAGGCTAGTGGGTGGGCGTGGGGGCGTAGTCTCAGCAGGGCTCCAGGCGCTTCCTCCGAGCCTCAGGCGGTGAGGGGCTTAAGGCGCTCGGAGGCACCGACTGTCCCGAAGGGCCAAAACCCACCCACTCAGCAAGTGTGCCCCACATCCTCTAGTCCCCGGACGTGCCCCACACTCACTCAGCGGCTCTCTTCCTCGTCGCCTACCCCGGGGGTTGGGCGCCCCGTCCAGTGAGGGTCCCTGGGTCACCCGGCCGGCGGCGGGGTAGCACCACCCGCCCACGTTACCCCGCCCACGTGACCCCGCCCCGAGGCAGCGCGCCTCCGGTTGGTCCACGTGGACCCTCCCAGCTGCCTGTCATCAGAGCGGCCCCGCCCACCGAGAGAGCTCATTGGCCTTCGCCCCGAGCAGGGGCGGGATACGGCGGAGACTCGCCCAATTCGGCCTTCGGGAAGGGCCCCCCCGCAGCGGGTCACGGAGAGAGCCGAGCGGCGCCGCCGAGGGCCGAAGAGAGCCGGAGAGACCCGAGTGCGACCGGACAGGCGCAGGCCGGCCGGAAGCGGGCCCGAGCGCGGCCGGAAGGAGCCGAGTCCGCCCGAAGGGGGCTGCGCGCGGCTGGACGTTGGGCTTGGTCCAGCGGGCGCCATGGCTGCCGAGGGGACAGCTGTGGCCGGAGGCGGGGCTGTTGGCGACCGGCTGGCCAAGGACAGCTTGCGGCAGTCTCAGTGCCCGGACGCGGCCCCGAACCGGCGGCGCGGCTCGTCGCTGTCCCGTGACGCCGAGCGCCGCGCCTACCAGTGCTGCCGGGAGTACTTGGGCGGGGCGTGGCGCCGGGCGCGGCCGGAGGAACTGAGGGTGGACCCTGTGAGGTGGGAGGTCAGGGGTCAGGGGTCGAGCTCGGGCCTGGGGACGCCGAGTCTCCGCGGCCCCGGGGCACGTGGGGAGGGGGCGGGCGGGGTGATGGCGGCGGGGCAGGTGCAGCGGCCGCGGCCTGAGCGCGCCCTGCTCTGGGTCTGCAGCGGGGGCCTCAGTAACTTGCTGTTCCGCTGCTCGCTGCCGGACCACCTGCCGAGCGTTGGCAAGGAGCCCCGGGAGGTGCTGCTGCGGCTGTACGGGGCCATCCTGCAGGTGAGGGGTGTCCTGCAGGTGAGGGCGTCCTGCAGGTGAGGGCTGTCCTGCAGGCGAGGGGTGTCCTTGCAGGTTAGGGCGTCCTGGAGGCGAGGGGTGTCCTTGCAGGTGAGGGCGTCCTGCAGGTGAGGCATCCTACAGGCGAGGGGTGTCCTGCAGATGAGGGGTGTCCTTGCAGGTGAGGGCGCCCTGCAGGTGAAGGCGTCCTGCCAGTGAGGAGTGTCCTTGCAGGTGAGGGCATCCTACAGGCGAGGGGTGTCCTGCAGATGAGGGGTGTCCTGCAGATGAGGGGTGTCCTTGCAGGTGAGGGCGCCCTGCAGGTGAAGGCGTCCTGCCAGTGAGGAGTGTCCTGCAGGTGAGGGCCATCCTGCAGGCGAGGGGTGTCCTGCAGGTGAGGACAGTCCTGCAGGGCGAGGGCAGTCCTGCAGGGTGAGGCAGTCCTGCAGGGTGAGGGCCGTCCTGCAGGCGAGGGGCATCCTGCAGGCGAGGGCGTCCTGCACATGAGAGCTGTCGGGCAGGTGATGTTCTCACTGAGGCCCAGGGCCTAAGTAATTTGTAGATTCTCCTACTGGAGCCTGGTTCTGAAGTCTCCAGGCAATAGAGCAAGACGTGCCAGGAGGGGGTGGGGAGCAGAGCCTCCTGTGTTTGTGACCCTGTCCCCTGGGTTGTCCATCTTCCTTCAGGGCGTGGATTCCTTGGTCCTCGAAAGTGTGATGTTTGCCATCCTGGCAGAGCGGTCGCTGGGGCCCCAGCTCTATGGAGTCTTTCCAGAGGGCCGGCTGGAACAGTACATCCCAGTACGAACCCGGCCCTGACCTCCCTGAGGCACCTTCTGCCCCCAGCCCCGTCCCCTTTCCAGTGCCTGTCCTCATGTCCCTAACCCCAGGTAGGGCCTTTACCCAAAACCCTGACTTCCCTCCCACTTCCATTCCCCACCCCTTCCCCCTCCTGCCCCAGCCCCCTCACCACCCTGATAGGCTCCTGGGTGCAGAGCCGGCCACTGAAAACCTGTGAGCTTCGAGAGCCGGTGCTGTCCGCAGAAATCGCCACGAAGATGGCCCGGTTCCATGGCATGGAGATGCCGTTCACTAAGGAGCCCCACTGGCTGTTTGGGACCATGGAACGGTGAGTCAGGAGTCGCCTCGGGGCTCCTGCACACCTGTTCTGAACCCTGATGCTGGCAGTTACTACGCTGGCCTGTAGCTGAACGTGCCCATGACTGCCCAGGCCTCCAGCTGAGTGGATCAGGTGTCCCGGTGCCTAGCATGGTTTCCCACAGAACGGGCTCCCAAGTAAGGCAGACAAGTGAACAGAGACAGAAAAACGGCCGGGCGTAGACCAGGAGGCGGTAGGGAGGGACGGAGGCAGTGTTATCTTCCTCTCCGGGCTTCAGGTACCTGAAGCAGATCCAGGACCTGCCCCCCACTGACCTCCCCCAGATGAACCTACTGGAGATGTACAGCCTGAAGGATGAGATGGGCAACCTCAGGTGAGGGGCAGCAGCACCCGGCACCTAACTGGGTCCTTCCCCAGGATTTACCGAGGGTGGGCTCAGGCCCTGGCCCACAAGGGGGACTGACCCTTCTCTAGTCACTGCTGCTCAGGACCCTTGCCCCTGTTGCCCCGCAGGAAATTGCTCGACTCCACCCCATCCCCAGTGGTCTTCTGCCACAATGACGTCCAGGAAGGTAGGACAAAGCATCAGTGTCTCCTAAGGTGAGGGGGGCAGAGGGCCCTGAAGTGACTGCACCTCCACCCATTCTCCCAGGGAACATCTTGTTGCTCTCAGAGCCAGAAAACACCGACAGACTCATGCTGGTTGACTTCGAGTACAGTAGTTACAACTACAGGTGAGAGTAGGATGGCGTCCATGGGTCTGTTCCCGCAGCAGCCTGACAGACAGACTAGGCCTTCCTCTCTGCGTCCCGGCTGCCCAGGGTATTTGGGGACTGAGCGTCCACCTTATTCCCCCAGGGGCTTTGACATTGGGAACCATTTCTGTGAGTGGGTTTATGATTATACTCACGAGGAGTGGCCTTTCTACAAAGCGCAGCCCGCAGACTACCCCACCCGGGGGCAGCAGGTATGTGGACTGGAGGCTGGGGAGCAGGACCTGGCCTCCCAAGGGAGGAGGAAGGTGAGGTCTGGACAGAACAGCGAGAAAGGGTGTTCACGGGGATGTGCTCTGCACTCTCTCCCCATCTCCTGACTCGTCTGTCCACGTCAGCTCCATTTTATTCGCCATTACCTGGCAGAAGGCAAGAAAGGTGACACCGTCTCCCAGGAGGAGCAGAGAAAACTGGAAGAAGATTTGTTGGTAGAGGCTAATCGGTGAGGAAAGATGGGTGGGAGGGGGGTAGAGCAGGGTGCTGAGGAAGAGGGAGGCGGGCCACCTCTGGGGTCAGGACGTGGTGGGGTTAAGGCAGTGGGGGAGGAGTCTGAGCTTTGGGGCTTGACCGGCCTCAGGGGTGGGATCCTTGGGATCCCAAGTGTGCTGTGAACCCCTGTTTTTCCTGCCCTCCTTAGATACGCTCTGGCATCCCATTTCTTTTGGGGTCTCTGGTCTATCCTCCAGGCATCTATGTCCACCATAGAATTTGGTTACTTGGTAAGTAATGCAGATGGGGGAGCAGCAGGTGGGCAGTCCAGGTGTCTGGGCACCCTGGGGGGGGGGGGCACAGGCGGGCGTGGGAGGCTGGCCCAGGCCCTCTCACAGGTCTCTTTCCCTAGGAATATGCCCAGTCTCGGTTCCAGTTCTACTTCCAGCAGAAAGGACAGCTGAGTGGCTTTCACCCCTCATCCTGACTCTCCGGCCCCCAACTCCTCAGATGGCTCCTGGAGCCTCCAGGGCAGGACCTTGGAGGGAGGGGCACAGAGCAGGGCACCCTGGGGACTGGGCTGAGCCCCGGAGTGAGCCTGGGGTTGAGGGTCGTGGTGGGACAAACCCGGGCTGTGCACCCTAAGAATAAACAAGCTGCTTCCCTCACACCTGGTCCTGGCTCTGCCTCCGCCCACCCCGGGGAACGCGCAGCCTGACCTGCCCCCTGAGCTGAGCCTCACTGTCCCCTTCTGGAAAGGCAGCTGGGTGCCGGGGCTGACCCGGGTCACAGGATCCCTGGCTGCAGCTCCCCGACCAGCACTGGAAGGACCTGGGAGGGGGGCTGCCCGGCTCACAGGCGCACAGCTGACGCCCTGGCGACCTTTTCCCTACATTCAGCTATTTTTAGCTCTAATGCTCCCATCCTCACGTGAGCCCCGGCCCGGCCCGCCCCCCCGCCCCCAGGTTCTCGGACCTCCGAGCCACGCCGGCCTGCAGAGCCCGCCCCCACCCCGGTTCCCACCACACAGAGGAGGGGATTCTGGTCGCCGCCCCACATCTGTTTGCTCGACCCAAATTTGGGAGTGGGTGTCAGGTTCCCGGCGGGGGCGGGGCGGCCAGGCCTGAAGGACGTGGGGACACGGGCCAGACCGACTGGCCCCCCGCGCGGACGGAAGCGAACCCCAGCCGTGAGTGGCACGGGGCCCCTCGCGGTTGGTGCCCCCACCTCGTCGCGGCTCCGGGGCTCCCGGCCCCTGCTCCCCCTGCCCCCCTGCCCCTCCAGCGGGGCCCCCGGATCCGATCGCGGCGCGAGGGTCCAGCGGCCGTTGGGCGGGGGGGCGGGGCCCCGAGCGGGGGCGGGGCGGGCGGGAGCACCGGGGGCGCGGGGGTGGGGGTGGGAGAGCCGGGGCGCGGGGGGGGGGGGGCGCACCGGGGGCGCGGGGGCGGGGCTGGCCTCAGCCCGCGCGCACACCCCCCCAGGTGAGGGCCAACCTCCAGGATGGCGGAAGCGCACCAGGCTGTGGCCTTCCAGTTCACTGTGACCCCAGACGGGGTGGACTTCCGACTCAGTCGGGAGGCCCTGAAGCACATCTACCTGTCCGGGATCAACTCCTGGAAGAAACGCCTGATTCGCATCAAGGTGGGCGCAGGTGGTTCTGGCAGGTGCGAACAGTCTCCCCGGAGGCGAGGCCAGGTGTCGGCGGCTGCCCCCCACCACCGAGGCTGGAGGCTGGCCGTCAGTCAGGCTGGGTGACAGGCTCCAGCAGTGCAGAAGCCCCAGGGGTGCTCAGGGGTGCAGGGCAGACTGGGCGCAAGGAATAGCAGCCGCTTGGTGAGTAAGGGGTGTTGCAGGTAGGGGAGCGTGGAGGAGGAAGAGTACAGCAAGTGAGGGAGGGAGGAGGTCCCGCAAGACCTGGAGCTCGGCTGCCTCCTCCCCACGGCCTTTCCCCCTGCAAGCTGCCTTTCCTGCTGCAAGCTGCCTGTGTCTGCCCCGCAGAATGGCATCCTCAGGGGTGTGTACCCTGGCAGCCCCACCAGCTGGCTAGTTGTTGTCATGGCGACGGTGGGCTCTTCCTACTGCAAGGTGGACATCTCCATGGGACTGGTGTGCTGCATCCAGAGATGCCTCCCTGAGGGGTGAGAAGCAGGGCTCCCGGGGAGGGCGGGGCAGGCTCCTGAGCAGGGCACAAACCAGTAGTAGCCCCTGGAGTTCCTAGGGGCAGCCCTCCCGGGGGGCCACTGTCATCTGAGTCCTACTTTCTAAGTTTGAATGTAAGGCCCTCGGACATGAGGGTGCCCAGGAGTGCTCTTCATCAATGCCTCCCCCGACGCGATCCACCACGGTCAGAAGTGCAGAGTCAGACTCCCCCCCCCCCACCCAGCCTGATCTCAAGTGGACCCCCTGCAGCCCTCTCCCTTCCCCCAGCAGATGTGGCCCCTACCAGACCCCACAGACCCGGGCACTTCTCAGCATGGCCATTTTCTCCACGGGGGTCTGGATGATGGGCATCTTCTTCTTCCGCCAAACCCTGAAACTGCTTCTTTCCTACCACGGTTGGATGTTCGAGATGCACGGCCAGACCAGCCACTTCACCAAAGTCTGGGCTGTGAGCAGGAGCCGGTGGAGGGGTTCAGGCATCTGGTTTGAGACTCTGGGGACCTCATTTGGGGTTGTAAGCTGGGAGAGGCAGGTGGGGCAGTGGCACCTGGTGCATGGGTTTGTCCTGGTTCTGAGGTTGTCCTGGGTTGGGGACCCAGCTCCTCAAATGTGGCTGTTTCTGTTATTTCCCCTGGTTCTCACCAGAAACATTCTGTGTGCCCAGATCTGTGTCCGCCTGCTGTCCAGCCGGAGGCCCATGCTCTACAGCTTCCAGACATCCCTGCCCAAGCTTCCTGTGCCCAGTGTGCCGGCCACAGTTCAGCGGGTGAGGGTCCGGGTCAGACATCCCAGTGGGGCAAGCTAAGCTGGACTGCGAGGACTTCTCCAAACATCAGGGACCATCCCCTGCAAAGAGCGGGGTTGAGAGCTATGGGGCCGGGTTGGCGGGGGGGGGGGGCAGGACAGAGGTGGTCATTGCTGTTTGGCCCCCACACTGACAATGACTTGGCTGGACAGTACTTGGAGTCTGTGCGGCCCTTGCTGGATGATGAGAAATACTACCGAATGGAGGTCCTGGCCAAGGAATTCCAGGACAAGACCGCCCCCCGGCTGCAGAAGTACCTGGTCCTCAAGTCATGGTGGGCAACCAACTATGTGAGTCCCCTCCTGGGCTTACCTCACCCTCCTGTGTGTGTGGGGGGGTGTCCCCTGCCTCTGCCCCCACCCTGACCCCTCCCTTCCTTCCGCAGGTGAGTGACTGGTGGGAAGAGTACGTGTACCTGCGCAGCAGGGCGCCTCTTGTGGTGAACAGCAACTACTATGTCATGGTGCGATCGGGCCCGGGGTGGTGGGGAGGTTGGGGGAGATCCTGGAAGAACAGTCAGGGCAGCCGGGCTCCTGAGGACCCACAGCCTGACACTGTCACTCTCCGAGTCCCCCGGGCTCACTGCCCGGCCCAGCCCAGGACCTGGCCCTTCCCGCCGTGGCTGTCGCTGGCATCCCAGCCGCAGGTTCCCAACCATCCTGACGCCACCAGCAGGGAGCTTCTCCCTTCGTGCCTCCCCTTTGTGTCACTATGTGAACCCCGAGCTGCTTCACTCAGAGCTCAGCCCGTCGCCCCGCGACCAGCTCTTCTCCGGCTCCCAGCACCTGAGGTGCCCAGTCAGCCGGGTGTCCCCACAGCCCAGCCACGGGGCTCCACAGCGTGCCTCTCCTCTCCCGCTGTCTCCCGCTGTCCAGAGCCATTCTGAGTCACGTGCCAACGTCCCCTCCCCCATAAAGCTGCCCCCCCCCCACGACGTACATGCAACTTGCCTGCAATAGGTTTTAAACTATTTCTCAATGCAAAACAAAACATGAACAAAGTAGGTCATGAAAAAGCTCGAAAGATTCCAGCTGAGCTGAGGGGCGATGTGCTGGGTCACAGGTCCATCTGTGGCAGTGCACGCTGAGCGCAGGTGCAGGGTGGCCTGGGGAAGGGGGTCAGGAGCCCCGGAGCCTCAGGCAGGGAGACCCAGGCAATAGCAGCCCAGAGAGATCATGGCACGGCACCTGAGGCTCTGCTCTGTCTCTGCAGGACTTGGTGCTCATCAAGAATACAAACATCCAGGCAGCCCGCCTGGGCAATGTCGTGCATGCTATGATCATGTACCGCCGTAAACTGGACCGCGAGGAGATCAAGCCTGTGAGTTGTGTGAGGCGGGCGGCGCAGCCGGGAGAGACGGCCGCATCTGAGCTGCGCTGGCCTCCCCCCAGGTGATGGCCCTGGGCATCGTGCCCATGTGTTCCTACCAGATGGAGAGGATGTTCAACACGACCCGGATCCCGGGCAAGGAGACAGGTACTGGGCCACAGCCAGGTGTCCGTGCCCGTGCTCGTGCTGTGCTGGGGCCCTCAGGACCGAGTCCCCCCACCCTCCCAGCTCGGGGCCTGCATGCTAGGTGCCCTCTAATCTGCTCATCGTCACCGAGTGTCCCAGGTATCTCAGGGTCATGTAACTGTGACAAATGCTTGGTTTGTGAGCCATCCCAGATACCACGTGTCCGCAGGCCTGATGCCAGTGCTGGGACCTTGCGAGCCAGGCAGGCGGCCTGGGTAAGGAGAGCAGGAGGGGTGGAGCTGCAGAGCAGGAGGGGCTGCGTGCTGCGAGCCCGACTCCCGACACTGGGACAGTGTGTGTAATTTCCTAGAGCTTCAGCTTCCTCTTCTGTGAAGTGTTCCCTAGGACTGTTGGCATTGCACAAGAGGTACGGGAGCCCGGCACGGGGCCTGGCTCGACGGCGGCACCGCCACAGCCCCGCACAGGGGAAGTCCAGGTGGAGGCCTGCAGCACAGGGTGGTGCGGGAGCAGGGAGGTGCGCCCGGCCCAGGCCTCAGCCCCTGCCCCCTGCCGGCTTCTGCCCCAGATCTGCTGCAGCACCTGTCGGACAGCAGGCACGTGGCTGTCTACCACAAGGGCCGCTTCTTCAAGCTGTGGCTGTACGAGGGCTCCCAGCTGCTCAAGCCCTGCGACCTGGAGCTGCAGTTCCAGAGGATCTTGGACGACCCGTCCCCGCCCCAGCCCGGGGAGGAGAAGCTAGCAGCGCTCACGGCCGGGGGAAGGTACCAGCGCCCCACGGGGACAAGGGCCCACCCGCAGGGCATCCAGAACCTGGGCCCAGAGGCCTGGCAAGGGGCATGCCCACCGGCAGGGTGCCCCCTGTCTGTGGTAGGACCCTCTGTAGCTGGGGGCACTGGTGGCCATGGCGGCATCTAGCCACGTCTGACTGGGTGGAGGTGGAGCAAGTGGGGCAGGGATTCCCCCGGACGGTCCTGCCAGGTCCGGGGTTGGCGGGGGGGTCCTCCACTGCCCACAGGGACCCCACTGCCCTCCCTACCCTTGTGCCCCAGACTGGAGTGGGCACAGGCGCGCCAGGCCTTCTTCAGCTCCGGCAAGAACAAGGCTGCTCTGGATGCCATCGAGCGAGCTGCCTTCTTTGTGGCCCTGGACGAGGAGTCTCACCACTACGACCCCGAGGATGAGGCCAGCCTCAGCCTATACGGCAAGGCCCTGCTGCACGGCAACTGCTACAACAGGTGTGACGCCCTGGCCGTGGCCCCCCACCGGCCCCCCCATTCCGCGCCCGCCTGCATCTCCCGCCTCCCCTCCTGCAGGTGGTTCGACAAGTCTTTCACAGTCATCGCCTTCAAGAACGGCCAGCTGGGCCTCAACACAGAACACGCATGGGCAGACGCCCCCATCATAGGGCACCTCTGGGAGGTGATGGGCCAGGGAGGGGTCCTATGGGGCCGGCTGGGTGTGGGGCACGAGGCTGGCTCCTCAGCCTCCCCTTCTCCCTGCAGTTTGTCTTGGGTACCGAGACCTTCCACCTCGGCTACACGGAGACTGGGCACTGCCAGGGCAAAGCTAACCCCGCGCTGGCCGCTCCCCAGCGGCTGCAGTGGGACATCCCTGAGCAGGTGTGTGGCCAAGAAGGGACAGGGATGGGGGGCGCTCTCAGGGGGGAGGGACAGAGCTTGTCAGAGTCCAGGGAGGTCCTGGGACCCTCTGGTGGCCAGTGAGTGACCTGGGCGTGACCCTGGCCCATGGAGCACCCGCCGGCCTCCTGGCCCAGGCCCCTCAGGGGGTCTCCCGTGTTTGTGGATGTGTCGTCCCCTCCAGGCCTCCCTCTGACCCTGCAGCCCCGCGTGCCGAGCTCTGCCCCCAGCTGACCCCTCCCTCTGCTGGCAGTGCCGAGCGGTCATCGAGAGCTCCTGCCAGGTGGCCATGGCGCTAGCCGACGACGTGGAGCTGTACTGCTTCCAGTTCCTGCCATTCGGCAAAGGCCTCATCAAGAAGTGTCGCACTAGCCCGGACGCCTTTGTGCAGATTGCCCTGCAGCTCGCCCACTTCCGGGTAGGGGCCGGGCCGTGGGGGCAGGGGGCGCAGCCTCAGCGGCCGCACTCACCCCCTGTACCCCCCAGGACAGGGGCAAGTTCTGTCTCACCTACGAGGCCTCCATGACCAGGATGTTCCGGGAGGGACGGACTGAGACCGTGCGCTCCTGCACCAGCGAGTCCACGGCCTTTGTGCAGGCCATGGCGGAGGGGTCCCACATGGTGAGCGCCCGGCTCCACCACCAGCTGCTTGGGGGCCAGGCCACTCCTCACCGCCCCACCCCTCACCGCCTCACCTCTGCCCCCCAGAAAGCTGACCTCCGAGACCTCTTCCGGAAGGCTTCCAAGAAACACCAGAATATGTACCGCCTGGCAATGACAGGGGCTGGCATAGACAGGCACCTCTTCTGCCTCTACGTGGTCTCCAAGTACCTGGGGGTCAGCTCCCCTTTCCTGGCTGAGGTCAGCATGGTCGGTGGTGGTGTCCCTGTCCCCTGCCCTGCAGCTGCCCTCCCCGCGGCCCGTCCAGGCCCAGGGGCCTGGTTCTGAGCAGGAGTCTCCCCTCGTGGAGCTGCCATTCTCCTGAGCGTGGACAGACAGACATGTGGCTGTCGGGTGCTGACAGCACTCGGAGGGGAGGCAGAGAGGGGAGGCAGAGGGGGAAGACAGAGGGTCAGGGTGAAGGGGTCCTCCAGTGTCCACACACTGGGGCAGGGGCGCAGCAGCCCCAGGGGAGGGAGCAGAGCCCAGGGAGAGACAGGCTGGTAGGACGGGCCGAGGGGACCGTCAGGTCACAGGGGCCTCGGGGGTTCTATGCAGCTGCATCACCCTGAGAACCGACGGGGAGTCCATGTACCCGCTCAGGCTGTTGTGCAGGCACCACCTGCCCGAAGGGGACGTGCCAAGCGCAAGGCAGTTCACACACGTGTGTCTGCGGTGGCCTCTCTGTTGCAGGTGCTCTCGGAGCCCTGGCGCCTCTCCACCAGCCAGATTGCTCAATTCCAAATCCGCATGTTCGACCCAGACAAGTACCCCAAACACCTGGGCGCCGGTGGTGGCTTTGGCCCCGTAAGTGCTCTTGGGGAGCAGGACTGGGCCCCAGCATCTTGGGGGGAGGAGGGCCCTGAAGTCAGGCCAGGACAGTGGGCAGCTATCACCTGGGCACAGGCTGTAGCCGCCCACACGACACCCCACGGCAGCACAACTGACCAGGCCCAGGACTGGTCGCCGCCCTCACGGTGCAGAGCCCAGGTCCCCCACCGTACGCCAGGGCTGGAGACACTCGGGGAGAGGCGGCGATCTCAGGCCTCCTGGGACAAACACTGCCCTGGATCCCGGTAGCACCTGTAGCTGCAGGGGCAGAGCTCCTCCCAGCAGTGCCTCTGACCTCAGGAATGAGCCCCTTCCCAGGAATCTGGGGACAGCAAGCCCTGCAAGGCTCGTTTCCTTCTCTACCATCTGCGCTGTCCTCAGGTGGCAGACGATGGCTACGGGGTTTCCTACATGATCGCGGGCGAGAACACCATCTTCTTCCACATCTCCAGCAAGTTCTCGAGCTCGGAGACGGTGAGTCTCTCCTGCCCCTGCTCAGGCCGAGGAGGGGGTGCCCCCCGGGGCCCTGTGGGCTGGGGACGAACCCTGGGTTGTGGGGACAGAGAGACAGGGGCTCCCTGCCAGGGTTGGTCTGAGCTCTTGGCTCCCGCAGAACGCCCAGCGCTTTGGAAACCACATCCGCCAAGCTCTGCTGGACATCGCTGATCTTTTCCAAGGTCCCAAGGCTGACAGCTGAGGGCTGGAGACAGGCCAGCTGCCCTGTCATCCCCGCACTGTGGAGGAGGGGGCCCGTGGTCAGCTCGAGGCACAGGGGTGGCCATGCACGGGTGCCCAGGCTCCAAGGACACCTCCAGCAGTAGGCCCTCCCCAGGCAAATGCTGCTCTCTGAGGGCCCAGGCAGTGGAAGTGGGGTTGAACATGGGGGCGGGGGTGGGGGTGGTGGTGGTGGAAATTCTGGTTTTCTTTTTCTTGCTAATAAAGATACTAATAAAGATAAATCTCTGTAATTCTCTCCTGGCATTTGGGTACCTTTGTTTGGGAACTAGGGGCCCCTCCGCTGCCAGAGCTCAGGCCAGAGAACTAGCAGAGGGAGGAGACGGGGCTGGGAGACCAAGAGGCTTGTGACCTACTTTGAAAGGCACGTCTCTCCCGAGGTCAGCACTGTCCACACCCACCTGGAATAAATCTTGCTTCAGAACCTTCACCTGTTCCCCGGGGGCCACTCGTGGTCTGCCAAAGAGTGGGGCCCAGCTGCCTCGTCCACGAACACCTCTGGGCTGGAACACCACCCTGTGGCGGCCCACGGCCTCCTCCTGGCCATAGGGAAGCTGGGGTGCAGGCCTGCGGCCAGCGCGCCAAGTGGCCTTGCTGTGAGATGGCAACACATGCTCTTTCCCTCATGTTGGCTTTTTATAGTAGAATAACATTAAAAGTAAATATCTTTTATAGAAGTAGAAGTAGGTGCTTCATCAGTGTTGCGGCCTGCGAGAATGCTCACCCAGCCTCGGGAAAGCAGTGAGCAGAGTCTCCCAAAAAACTGGCTTTTAATTAATGTTGAAATCCAACGTTTTTTTGTTTGTTTTTGTTTTTGTTTTTTTTTAATTGTTCTTGGTTCAAATAAGAGGAGAAACCAAAATGTTAAACCAAGGTGACCACCCATCAAGCCTCGGAATAAGCTTCTTGTCCCCACCGGGTTTGCAGATCTGCACTCATGAAGGCCACAGCCAGAACACACAAATCCTGACACCTTCACGGCTTCACCCAATAGAGGCTCTGCTCCACACCACTCTTGAAAGGCCGGCTGGCAGAAGCCCAGTCCTCCCTCCTCCATAGGTCCAGGTCGCCTTGGACACTAGCATCCAGCAGGGCCCTGGGGGATGGGCTCACGCACCTCTCCTGCTGCGCAGGGCGCCCCGGGCCTCCCAGCCCAGCCCTGACCTCCTCATGAATCCATCCCTAAGAGGCAGCCCTTTCCACACCTTTGCCTTCCATGAAACTTTTGCCTGGAATCCGGTGTTGCTTCTGGTGAAGCCCAAGCGGTCGCCCCCGAGGCTGCCTTCACTCCGTTTCCCAGCGGCGGGCAGCCCATGCGCAGGAGGCCCCCAGGTGGGGCGGACGGCCGGGCCAGGTGCGGAGGGCCCGGGCTGCACAGGTGCGCACGGCCTGGCCGCGTCTAGCCGCGTCTCCTACTCTGCCCGGGGGCGAACCCGGTGGGTGCCAGGCTCATCCCGAATCCCAGCCGCTGCTGCGCACCTTCCGGACGGGCCTCGCCCACCGGCCCACCTGAGCCAGCGGCGCTCCCTTGTCTGCAGGCCCCGCCAGGGCTCCCTGCTCAGCAGCCACCGCCACCCCCGTGGGCAGGTGCACACCTCCCGAGGGTCAGCTTCCTGCAGGCGGCCCCTGAGCTCACTGAGCAATGCCCACCAGCACCTGCGGGGCTCCAGGCCCTGCGCATACGCCTCACCCTCACGCTACGCCGAGCGGACCAGGCCGGCAGGACCCCCAGGGCCCCTGCGCTCCCACCGCGCTCTCCTGCCACCTGCCACCTCCGCCAGGGCTCGGGCCACCCAGACACCGCAGGTGAGACCCGCCCGAGCGGCCCCGCTCCTTCCGCCCTAGAGACCAGCCAATGAGGCCTCGAAACCGACCCTCACGTGTCTGCGGCTCCGCCCCTTCCGCTCCGGCAGACAGGCCAATGAGGGCGAGAAGCTGCCTCCGGGGGGCGGGTCTAGTAACGGAAAGGGGCGGGGCGCCGTGCCTGCTCGGCCGCGAGTCCCCAGCAGTGGCGGCGGCGCTGGTGGGCGGTGGATCCACGCTAGCGTGGGCGGTGCCAAAGGTGAGCAAGGCCCGCCCTCCGCGGCCCGGGCCCCCCTGCGTGCCCCGACCCCCGGCCCCGGCGTCCCCGAGCTGTGCCCGCCGCCCCTGCCGCCCTCACCCCACACCCCGCCGTGGCGGCTGTCACCCCGTCTCCCCACCCCCACACCCTCCGCACCCCTTTACCCCCCACCCCTCCCTGCCCCCCACACCACTCCCTGCCCTATACCCCCTCACCTGCATGCCCCCACACCCGCACCCCCCACCGCCCTCGCCCCCCCGCACCCCTTTACCCCCACCCCTGCCCTGCCCCCATACCCCTCTCACCCCCATGCCCACACACCCGCACCCCCCACCCCCCTCGCCCCCTCCCCCCACTCCTCCCTGCCCCCAAACCCCACTCTTACCCCCCCACACCTTTACCCCACCCCTCCCTGCCCCCCTCTCACCTCCATGCCCCCACACCCCTCGCCCCCACACTCCTCCCCCCACATCCCGCCCTCACTCCCCACCCCTTTATCCCTCACTCCTCACTGCCCCCCACACCCCTCCCCGCCCCCATACCCCTCTTACCCCCATGCCCCCTCACCCCGCCCCTTCCTGCCCCCCCCCACACCTCCTGCCCCCACCCCTCCACCCCCTCGCCTCCCTCACCCCCATATCCCCTCCCCCCACACCCCTCCTGCCCCCATACCTCCTCACCTCCCCACATCCCCCTTACCCAGCCCCTCCCTGCCTCCACACCCCTCCCTGTCCCCCACACCGCAATTCTCTCACCCCCCAGCTCTTCCAGCCCCCACACCCTGCACATTCCAAACTCTGGACTTTCACAGACAACCCGACCCCCTGGCCTGTTGCCTGCACACCTGGAGCACCTGCACTGTGCTCCCCACGCACTCCAGCCCCGCCATCTGTGCACCGCGGCTCCCAGAGCCTCCAGTCCCCTGGACGCCAGGACTCCTGCTGCTCCCATGGGGCTCACACGTGGGTCTCTCACAAAGAATCTCTGACCCCGGAGCCCCTCTTGTCCTCTCCGAGTTCTCGTTTCCAGGGGGATCCCAGCCACCACCAGGGATCAGACCAGACCCTGAGGCTACAGCCAGGCCTCAGGACCCTTGAGCCCACACCTCCCAGGACCCCTGGGACCTCAAGCCCTTCCTCCCACAGTGACCCCCCCAGCAGTCCTCTCCACACCCCCTCTGCTCACCAGAGCCCATTAGTCTGCTCTTGCTCTAGTTGCCTTGGGCTGCGGCCCTGGTCCCACCCCCCACTTTCTTTCTTTCTTTCTTTTTTTTTTTTTAAGATTTTATTTATTTATTCATGCGAGACACAGAGAAAGAGAGAGAGGCAGAGACACAGGCAGAGGGAGAAGCAGGCTTCATGCAGGGAGCCCGATGTGGGACCCGATCCCAGGATCACACCCTGAGCTGAGGGCCGATGCTCAACCGCTGAGCCCCCCAAGCGTCCCTTGCACCCCTTTCCACCAAGTCTTGCTCACCTGCAGCAACCTCATCGGGAAGGAAAGCCATGGACTCCAATCCCCTGGTCTTCCTCCGCCGCAGCTCTTACCCTTTCCCCGGATCCAGCATCGCTGGCCACAGCCTCCATCCCCAGTCCTCCTGCCCTTCAACTACGACCCGGTCTCCATGCATCTGCTTTATCTGCACACCCCCATCCGCCCTTGACCTGTGCCCTCACCTTGTCGTCCACCACCCACCTTTCAAAATTCCAGGCCCCAGCTAACTCTGTGCTGCCCTGGAGTCCTGGGTACACTGTGCAGCAGTGCGGCGAGGCCACACTACTAGTGCTTCTGTGCTGCATATCCACGTGTGTTGGTGAGGCGCACACCTTTGCCAAACCTGTATCATTCTCCTCAAACCAAGAATGTCTATTAGAATAACCTTCTCATTGCCATTTGTGGGTGAGCTAGAGACCTCAGGAACCTGGGCCACCTGGACCCTTACCTACCTTACCCTTCTTTCTCTCCCCTTCACAGGGTAAGGTGACCTCTCTGGCCCCAGCCCGTGCACCATCAGGTACCCTTTCTCCTGATTTCAGCCTTTTCTGTTCAACTCAACTAGCTCTTTCCACATAAACCTAAAGAAAACTCTCTACCTATGTAAGTTAAGAAAGAGAAAACCTTCCCTCTATCATCTTGTCACTGTCTCCTGTTTCTCCTTGTCTCAATCTCTGTGCCCTATTTTGTCTAATACTCTGTTAAGTCTTTATTTATGGAAATCTTGTCATTGTTACTGTTATTCAATTACTCACTAAGACCTGGCTCCCAAATAAAATGTCTTTTTTTTTAAGATTTATTTATTTATTTATTTATTTATTTATTTATTTATTTATTTATTTATGAGAGAGAGAGAGAGAGAGAGAGAGAGAGAGGCAGAGACACAGGAGGAGGGAGAAGCAGGCTCCTGCCGGGAGCCCCATGTGGGATTCGATCCCGGGACTCCAGAATCACACCCCGGGCCAAAGGCAGGTGCCAAACCACCGAGCCACCCAGGGATCCCCCCAAATAAAATGTCTTAAATTTATTGCGCCCTTTTGTAATATTTGACAGTGGTGTAACATCTCCCAACTTAGAACAAAAGACACCTGTAACTCCACATTACATTCCGGCTCCTGGCCCCTTTCTTTGCTTCTCTGAACCAGAACACAAGAACAAGTTTCTACTTTTCTTCCCTTCTCTTTAAACACATCGCAGTCAGGCTTTTGTCCCTTGCCACCCCATGAAAACAGCTTCTGCCAGAATTGCCACTGACCTTCATTTTTTTTTTCTAAAGATTTTATTTATTTATTCTTGAGAGACAGACAGAGAGAGAGAGAGAGAGAGAGAGAGGCAGAGGCCAGGCGGAAGGAGAAGCAGGCTCCATGCAGGGAGCCCAACGTGGGACTCGATCCCAGGTCTCCAGGATCAGGCCCTGGGCCGAAGGCGGCGCTAAACCACTGAGCCACCCAGGCTGCCCGCCATTGACCTTCAGATTGTCAAATCCATGATCACTTTTTATTCCTTATGCTACTTTATATGAGACACAACTGATCACTCTTTGTTTACTTTCTTTGCTTGGCTTCTGAGACTACACTCCTTCGATCT